TGTGGAAGTCACAAAGGCCTCTCCTACTGCTCTGCGCACCCCAGGGGTGGCCTTTACCAGACTGGGTCTCCCTGAATGAACTGTGCGAATCACTGACCATGTTACAAAAGTAAGACTGCCCATGTGTCAGCATCTGATGCTCCCAAGTGACAGAGTTACACTGAATTCTGTCTTTCACATCAGGTACATTTCCATGCTAATCAGGAACAGATTTATTTACTTTTTACTTCTATAGATATGAAGTTATGCACCTTAATTGAACCGAGTGAACTCCATGAATCTGACACAGTAAGGGTGGGGAAACACGTTCTAGAATTTTCCTTCCCTCTAGCTCAAATAAACAACTGCTTTCCAGGTACAAGGAGACAGAAGCCTTATGGCGGAAGCAGAAGGCAGTGGGAGGTGAGGGCGACAGGCTCTCAGTCACAGAGCCGCTTCCTCCAGTCAGACCTCCCAACGTCGGGTCTGCAAGACGAATGCATCAGAATCATCCAACACAGAACCAAAGACACACAGGGCTCCTGGGAAGGGTCACTCGGGAAGGCTGGCACCCGTTCTCGGGCCTGCTAGGTAGGAGACACAAGTCATGGTGACAGGAAACACAGGGACACGCTTCGTCTTTAGCCGGGACAGGGCTAGCTGGTGTGGGCTGCAGGAGTTGGAAATGGGTGGAATGCTACTTCCTCTGGAATGTCCGATCTTTGGAGCCCTGGTTTACGCTGCCCCCCACCCCGCCACCAAGGAGTACATTGAAGTGGATGAACCCCCTCATTCTCCAGGCAGCTCTCTGAAATCCAGATGGCCAAGATGGCAGCAGAGCTGGAGGAGCTGCTGATCAGGTCAGGCTGTTTGTCACCCTCGGTTTTCCTCTCTGAACTTTCTTCTGCTCAGCATGAATTACCTGGTGAGTCTGACCTCATGGATGATTACAGGTCTGCCTTCTGCTGGGAAGGATTGCAGACAAGAACAGACTAACCATGTAATTGAGGGGAAGGGAAGGGAGGGGAAGGAAGGAAAATAGCCTTGGGTTCTCAAGCTCTGACGCTAGCTGGAAGGAACTATGTGTTACTGCACAGGAGGTGCATGGAGGCTGGTGCATGGAGGCTGGTGGATGGAGGCTGGTGGGTGGGTGTCATGGTGCGCATGTCGGGACTCAGGATCCTCATTCTTAGTCCAGGGAGGTCAGGGCTTGTCTAAGAAGTGCCCATCGCTCATGCGAGCCTATTTCTGTTCCTCAGATCTATCCTGGCCAACTAGCTCTCAGCTTTGCCAGTCATGCCATTTCCACTGTATTCTTGGAGCAAATGAATTGGAAACACAAGAACTTGGTCTCAGAGATGGCTCCAAGGGATAGCGGTGCTAGGAGCGTCCCAACTGTTTTACAAACCCCTCACCAGCCAGGACAAAACATGACTCAGGGCACTGCCTGGCGAGCTTGGCAGTTCACCAGAGCTGCTCCCAGAAGTAAGGGGAAATCCCTGGCAGGCACCTCAGCGCCCATTCCAGGACAAAGAGGAGTTGTTATCTCTCCCAAACGCCCCTGGAATCGCTCAGACCCACTCTCTGAGGACCTCACTGGGCCACGGTGTGTGGGCGAGCTGGGGATCTGCTACATCTCTTCCAACTAAAGCCACACGAAAACATCCGGGCTCCTTGGCTTCATCACATCGCTCTGAGCCTGCGAAGCAAGTGTGTTTGGGAGAAGCAGACCACTGCTAAGCCCGCACCAGTGTGAGGCCCCGGCTCACCCGGTCATCTATTTGTAAGGTACACCAGGTGCGCAACGGAAGGGAAGGCCAAATTAAAAAATCAAGTCAAATCACACTTGCGGTGTCCAGGAGAAATTCTTCACGTTGTTACACCCACATTTTCTTTCCCATAAGTACATTTTTTTTAAAAAATAGGTCTGACCCAGCAGAAAGAGTTCTTTGGAGTAAACAATCTTTTTCTCCTCGGAAAAAAAAAAAAAAGATGAGCTAAGTGTAAAATATAGTCTTAATGAACTGAAACCCGTTTCATTTCTCCATTTCTCACTGACTTCTGGCCACAGCAGATTTTCTAACATCCTCTCTCTCGTTGGCTTCAGTTTTGTTTCTTCCCAGCATTAGAAAGCAGATCTACTATCATCCATCCCCGAAGTCCCTGACCTCATGGCTGCTCCCCCCCCCCCCATAGCAACCTCCGGACCTGGTTACCAAGGGAAGACGGGACAAGTGGGCAAATTATCCACTTTCTGCTGGTCAACACCAGTCTATGCAGGGGAGTACCTTCCTATACTTTGATCATGCTTTTGTTCCCAAAACAAAGAGGAAATTCCAGCACTCAGGAGCTGAAACAGGAGGATCCTATGTTCAAGATCAGCCTGGGCTATTATGGTGAGATGTCATCTCAAAAACAAAATAAAGAAGAATAAATGCCCCTTCTTCCATTCATGCTCTCTGGAAGCAGAGCTTTCTTTTCTGTGGTCAGAGAACAGAGACTTGCTATCCAAGCCCATCAAATATGGAAGCCTCATTTCTGTAGCATTCCCAGAGCCCAGCACTTACGAAGGCCCTTCTTTCCACCCGAAGTCTGGCCTGAATGAGTGAACCATGAGTGTCCTCGAGATGACACAGTCACAGCAGCGCTGATTCTAGTAGATAATGCTGTCTATCTACCTTCCAGAGAAGGTAGATATCAGCCAGAGAAGGAACAGCGGCCCGATCTTTGGGACCCTGTCCTCGGAGCTCCTCGGGTAATTCTCAGAGTCTGGGAATCATTGGAGAGTCCAAGCATCACCAGGTCACCAGGAAAACCCTGCCTGGGTGGGAGCAGGTCAAAGGGACAGAGGAGCTAGCAATGGGGCTCAGAGATGAGAGGTCTTCAGGAGTGTCTAAAAGGCTAGTAACAGGATGACAGACAGCACGACCTGGAGATGCCCTGTATTTAGACATTGAAGTGCCAGGCCAGATTCCTATTGGCAAGGACATTTCATCTGCCAAAGTAACCCAGATGGTTGATAAGGTAGAAATGAAGGAATAAAGGGCCCAGGGCTTGAGATTCCACACGACATCCACATTCCTCTATCTCCCAACTCAGCTCATGAGTCACAGCTAGGTCTGAGGAGAAGCCCAACTCATCCATAATCACCATCGGTTGCATTATACATTGCAGCAATAAACACAGGACATGAATCCAGAGCTTGCTACACTGAGGAGTAGCTCAAGAATGTTCTATAGAGTTGCTTGGGGAAAAGCTTCATCCATTGATTTTTCATACTACACTAATTCCAATAGAGGTAGTCCAGGACCTACAAGGTAATGTTCATCACTATGCATACCACAACCTGCCCATAGGAATAGTGATGTCCAACACGAACACAGAAATACCATTAATGAAGGGATAACAGAAAGAAGGGATTGGAATGGCCATCCAGCGCTACCTCACTTACACATTTATTACTTCGTTAACTATGGTAAGAGGTCCTTCATGAATACACAGAACAAACTCTATTGGTTATAGAAATATGAAAAACATGAGTTACCTGTCTAAATGAATAGAGAGATTTCATTTTAAACCGTTATTCTTAACATCAAAAGTAGAAACATAAAGTAGGTGATCCATGTCTTCGGCTGGGCCGTGGGAACAGATGCATGCCTGAAGAAGCCACGCTTGGTGGACAACATGTTTAGTTTCCAACTAAAGAGTTTGTTTTGTTTCAAAAAAATACGTATGTCTGTTGCTTTTGATACAAAAACTCTACACTATCTTCAATAAATAAATAATAAAGTGTTTCTTAAAAGTATGAAATGTAAACTTTGTTGTCCTTGCCAACACACACTTTTGTTTTTTATTAATTGCTTAGAATATGTCAGGGCTGTCCTGGAAAGTTACTCCTTGATGCACCTAACCCGCAGGGCGCCCTGCTACCACGCCGATGCCGTCACCTCTGAAGTACCTCATCCATCCTACTGAATCCTAAGGACCTACAGTCAAAGGGACCACCAGCTAACGCAAGGAAGCTCAACTCCAGAGCCAGAGAACATGCAAAGAACATTTCATGACCACTTCAAACTGGCGTTACAAAAACATCCACATGCGAACAAAATACAGCCCACACTGTCATTAGCAAATCAAGTTATGCTCTAATTCATCAGCCTATCTCTTAGCATTGAAAGGAAAAGCCCAACTCACTCAAACTCAACATCTCAGTACCTGGCCACACACTACGGAATTAAGCTCCTGTCGATCATGACTAAGAGATTGGCGTGTGTCTCTGGAGAACAGGAAGGCGCATGCTCACAGGCTCTTTCTCTTACCATACAACGAATTTGCCTTGCATCTCTCCACCCCTCTTCCAGCTTGTCATTTTTTTCCCCTTCACCTTAAGGAGCCAGGGTGTCCATTGTATGGGAATCTACCAAAGAGAGTTGCTAAAGTTTCCTACAACAGTCAGAACCTGGTACGTTTAGCTCTGATCACGCTCAGAGCCAATCACCAGCAATGACTTGCCATAAAATTCTTCTAAACCAAAGGAAAACATTTTCCAATAATGCCAAGTAACCAGTGAGCCACTGATCCCATCAGGTTGCCTTCCCGGTGATCTGCCACGATCATGGGATCACGGCAGCAGCATGGCCTGACCTGGTAGATCACAACCATCCTCCACGGCCGGTGCCACCTGAGCTGGGTCTCCTGATGCACACTGGCATGCTCTCACCAACAGGAATTTGTCCAGGCCTGGGGGGGGGGGGACTGATGGCTCTAACCACACACGCTAGGATCCTCCAGGGAGCCGAGCCAGCGCCCGGCCAGGAGACCACGGCACCTGGTGATGGGTCCAGATTCTGGAGCAGCAGCAATTCCACTGTAATTGGACTAAACCACCACACTGTAGAGCAACGGGCCCCCGGAGGGGAGTGAGACATAGGAGGGTTACATGAGTCCCCCCAAAAATACACACATTGCATTTATAAATCCATTTTATAGTAACCAGATCCATGCCTCCAGCGGGACGACGGGCCAGGTTCCTAACCAAACCCAACGGAAGGCTATGGGATTTCAGAGGCCCTGTAAGCCACCGTGAGACCTGCGCTGAGAACAAAGGAACACAAGAGTTTTGTTTCATAAAGTGGGAAATGGATCGAGAGGAACGGGATTGTCAAGAATTATTCCTAGGAGCTCTGAGGGGCCTGTCTTTGCTGTCCCATTGCCCTGACACCGAATGGTGGCTTCTGCGAAGAGGATTGCGGTTTGCAGACAGCATGTGGGGCTTCAGGAAGGAACTCAGCTGCGCATGTCCTGCCGTTCCTATGGCTCATCAAACAGCTGCAGGTCCAGGCGGACCACGATCTCTCCCGTGGGGACCTCGTGCAGCAGGAGACACTTCGTGACGGGCCCCTTGGAGCCCTGGTCTTTCTTGATATCAGCCACACGGATCTCTGTCCGACCTAAAAAATCTGAAAGGAGAACCAACAGACCATGCTCAGAGCAAGCACCTTGTCTTCAAGGTACCTGCTTGCCATACTGGAAATCTCCTCATGAACTAGTCTGCTCCCCTTTCTTCTGGGACCTACAAAGTGAGACCAGTGTTAAGATTTCCCACTTATTTCCCAGTGGACTTGTCAGTGTGCCATCATATTTTGTTTTAAAGAAGCAGTCAGGCACTAGAGGCTTGTGCCTGTCATCCTAGCTGCTCAAGAAGCTGTGACCTGAGATCTGTGATTTAACACTAGCCCAGGAAGACAGTCCCATGAGATTCCTATCTCTCACCAACCAGCAAAAAGCTAGAAGTGGAGCTGTGACTCAAATGGTAAAGCACCAGCTTTGAGTTAAAAAAAAAGGCAGGGGCTGGGAAGGTGGCTCAGTGGTAGAGTGCTTACCTTGCATGCCTGAGGCCCTGGGTTCAATTCTTCAGCACCACATAAGCAGAAAAAACTGGAAGTGGCGCTGTGGCTCAAGTGGTAGAGCACTAGCCTTGAGCTGAAGAGCTGAGGGACAGTGCCCAGGCCCAGAGTTCA